GGCCCTCTACAGGTCTTTTATGTTTCTAAGACTTTATAAAAGTCTCCAATGTCAGAAGACCCTCTACAGGCCTTCTATGACTAGAAGTCCTTCTACAGGTCTTCTATGACTAGAAGACCTTCCACAGATATTTTATTGATAGAAGGTTTTCTACAGGTCTTCTATGGCGAGAAGACCTTATGCAGTCTTATACCTCTAGAAGATGTTCCACAGGTCTTTCATAGTCAGAGGACCTTTTGCAGGTCATCTATGGCTAGAAGGCTTTTCACATGTCTTCTATGGCGGGAAGACTTTCTATAGTTCTTCTATGGCAGAAAGACTTTATGCAGGTCTTCTATGGCTTTAAGGCCTTCTACAGGTCTTTTATGTTTCGAAGTCCTTATAAAAGTCTTAGATGGTCAGAAGACCTTCTATGGCTATAAGCCCTTCTACAGGTCTTCAATGACTAGAAGACCTTCTACAGGTATTTTATAGTCCGAAGACCTTCTAAAGGTCTTCTATAGCTAGAAGCCCTTCTACAGGTCTTCAATGACTAGAAGCCCTTCTACAGGTCTTCAATGACTAGAAGACCTTCTTCAGGTCTTCAATGACTAGAAGACCTTCGTCAGGTCTTCAATGACTAGAAGACCTTCTTCAGGTCTTCTATGACTAGAAGACCTTCCATAGATCTTCTATGGTCAGAAGGCCTTCAACTGGTCTCCCATAGTCAGAATACCAAATGTATTATCAATAAAGATTATAGAAGAAGTTCTACAGGTCTTCCATGTTCAGAAGACCTTTTACAGGTCTTCCATGGCTAGAAGATTTTCTACAGTTCTTCTATTGCGGGAAGACCTTCTACAGGTCTTCTATGACTAGAAGACATTCTACAGGGGTTTTATGGCTATAAGGCCTTCTACAGGTCTTTTATATTCCGAAGGCCTTATAAAGGTCTTCTATGACTAGAAGATCTTCTACAGATCTTCTATGTCAAGAAGACCTTATACAGATTTTCCATGGATAGAAACCCCTCTACAGGGTTTCAACTTAGGCCTTGTTTTCCTTTTGGGGAAATTCGGATATAATCCCCACTTTATAATCCGGCTTATGATCCAAAATCCCCATAATTGCCATGGGGATTATTTCCGGGCACCTTAATTCTACACAAATAAAAGAGCAACAAGAATCACGGCAACCAATTACCGCCACTCACCACAAATGAGTCAACACACTTTGTTCTAAAAGCATTGAAAGAGATTGTATTGCCATTTCGTTGGCGCCCAAATGTGCGTAAACGTCATTACAACGATCAGAATTTATTCATTCATTAATTAATCGTTTCATTAATTATAAAACACAAAAAGTGGAAAACTTGCCCCCCGGGGGCAAAACAATATTTGGAATTATGCAAAATATATTTTTATATTTCACAGAATTTACCAATATTGGAAATTACGCAAAAATAAACTTCCTTTCACAAAAAAGTAAATAAATAGTTTCGAATCTGTTTGACGTTAAGGTATGCGAATTATAAAACCAATGACTCATTAGAAACCCATCCAAAGGTGTGTGAGTGTGCGTTTTCTTCTTAAATTAAAATTTAAATGAATTCTAATGAACTTGAAAAATTAATTTGTTACATATCGTCGTTCCAGCTGCTCTCTTCTGTGAGTCAATCCATTTTAAAAATTCAAATGGATTTCTTAACGCCACACATAACGTAACCGTTTTTGCTATGCATTTCAAATTGTTGCCGTGTTTGTTTTTTATGACTTTGGCACGTTTTGATTGATTGAGTGTTTTGTTTTTTTTTTAAAACAGTTTGAAGAAAAAAAATTATGGGTAATGACAACGAAATTGGGAAGAGGTACATAGTTTAAAATAGGTAAGGAACATATTGCAATGAACAACAAGTTTTTTTGGTAGTGTAAAATTCCCTTTTGAGATATCTCAAAGTTTCTGAGGATACCAAAAAAAAGGAAGTACACATCACACTGTGCGACAAAATGTTTTTCAATAATTACGGGGAAATTCCAGCAGATTATGGATGTAGTGTTAAATCCACATTTTTGATGGGACCGTAGCAAGTCAAAATATCCTACGAAATTATTTATCATGAAATTCTACTATAGGTTGTAGAAGACGTCAAGAGTCTTAAGTCAAATCTAACCTAAACGCCTGGAATTCATATATTCGGAAATTTCTACTTCGAAGCTTTTTTATACCCACTCCCTTATGGCCACAGATGGTATATATCATTTGATACGTCCAAAACGAGCCATATCGAAATAACGGTTTTATACCCTAGGTCTCCTTGGACGAAATCCGCTGTTAAGAGACGATTCGTCTGTCTCGGCTGGCTGGTGAAGGGTTTGGTCCATAGGTGTGTCGTAAAATTATTTTCAAACTTATATCGTATTCGGTGGATGATATTATCGGTCCACCACTTCTAGTATCTCCCCACAAAGGGTTCAAATTTTGAATAACTTTATAATTCGTAAAATAAGAGTCCCATTATCTTCGAATTTCATGCCTCGCAATATTTCTACCAAGGCAAGATCTGATATGAAGACCGATTAGACTTCTTCTGGTACCTACCCCATAAGGGTTCAACATTTTTAATAATTATAATCCTTCTCTTTAAACATTGTGTACGTCTTAATTTCTATTAACCATAGACCCAAAGTAAATATAGGATTCCTTGCGATACTTCCCCCTAAAATGGTTGAATTGAATTTGGATTTATTATACCCTCAACCATGTGGCTAAAGAGGGTATATATCATTTGGTACGTCCTAAACGTGGCTCATCGATATAACGGGTTTAGACCCTAGGTCTCTTTGGACCAAATCCGCTTCAGGACATTTGGGGTCGATTTAGCGATGTCCGTCCGTCCGTCTTTCTGTCTGGCTGGTGCGCACGATAACTCTCGAAGGGTGTATGCGATTTGATCCAAACTTGGTACATCGTAATATTATTATCAAACGTTGATCGAGTTCGGAGATGGGCAATATCGGTCCACTCCTTCTGGTACGTACCCCACAAAAGTTCGAACTTTTTAATGAAAATATTTTATTGCACAGAAAGAGAAAGGATAATCCGATTGTGCTCCAACTTGGCAAATCCTAATATTTGCATCAGTGCTAGGTCAGGTGCGAAAATGGATAATATCGGTCCACTCCATCAAGTACCTACCCCACAAAGGTTCAAAATTTTGAATAAATATAACTCTTATAAAATGTGATGTAAGAGACCGATTGTCTTCAAATTTCACACATGTCAATATTTATATTAACCCAAGGTCTGGTGTTAAGATGGAATATATCGGTCCACTCCTTCTGGTACCTCCCACACAAATGATCGAGATTTTCAAAAAATGTGTATTTTCTGCACAGAAAGAGAATCGATAATCCGATTTTGTTCTAACTTTGCAAATCCTGATATTTACGTCAGTTCTAGGTCGGGTGCAAAAATGGATAATATCGGTCCACTCCATCAAGTACCTCCCCACAAAAGATCAAAATTTTGAATATCCATCAAGCTCTTAAAACACTAAATTAACATCCGTTTCTATTCAGACTTGGCACATCTCAATATTTTCATAAACGCAAGATCTTTTATAAAGATGGTAGAGATCGGACCATTCGTTCTGGTACCTCCCACACAAAGCACCTGAGTTTTGAATAATCAAAACGAGCAAAGAATCCAAAATAAACTTCCGGTTCTCTTCATATTACACACGTCCCATTATTTCTACTAACTCAAAATCTGGTGTGAAGATGAGATATATCGGTCCACTCCTTCTGGTACCTACCTCAAAAAGGGTCAAAATTTTGAGTATCCATGAAGCTCGTAAAAGGCAAAATTAACATCCGATTCTATTCAGACTTGGATAATCTAAGGTCCGGTGCCAAGATGGAATACATCGGTCCACTCTTTCTGGTACCTCCCCCAAAAAGGGTCAAAATTTTGAGTATCCATGAAGCTTGTAAAAATCAAAATTAACATCCGATTCTATTCAGACTTGGAGTTTCTCAATATTTTCATCGACACAAGATCTGTTATAAAGATGGTAGAGATCGGACCATTTTTTCTGGTACCTCCCCACATAAGGTTCAAGATTTTTAAAAACAAAACGCTTAAGGAATTCGAAAAAAAACATCAAAATGCATCCATCCATCTCCTCAAATTTCCCACATACAGACATTATTTCTAACATAAGATCTGTTGTGAAGATGATATACATCTGCCAACTTATAACTGTCATACCTTGAGAAACAAGTCGGCGATTCTTTGCTATATCTAAATATTTCTCTAAACCAGTATTCTGATATGAATATGTAATTTGCGGAATTTATGATTTCGCATAAAATCGAACAATCGTATCCAATCAAATTTTGCACATACCAATATATTTTATCTGTATTAGATGAATGGAATAATTCGGTCCGCTATATCTATTTTTTCCATTTTCCGAAAATATCTCATATAAAGTACAAGAAGTAGTCGATATAGTCCAAATCTGTTACGTTCATAACTCAAGGCTGGGGGTATACATCTGCCGTCAAAACCGACTGATACTATTTTACTTGTTTTCGACAAATTTAGCATTTTTTGTTCGGAACTATTCTATTGAAGACATCCTCACTGCACAGCGGAATTGTTAATTAAATTGAAGATAATGCTCGTCGTAATCACCTTTCCATTAGCTCATACCTTTCATAAAAAGTACTTAATATAATCCAACTCATCATCATTTTTTTTATGTCCATTACATGGTTCGCCACCCCGATGTTCAATGTCATATTGAATATCGTGATCTATGCAATCTTGACCAAAAATGATTTCCGTATATCATCCTATTGTTAGTAAAATTTAACTTCAAAGATTTTATCTCCATAATCATCATCATTAACAAAACAAGAGAAGAGAAGAAAAAAAAAAACATAAATTTATTAATAAGAAATAATTAATATTAATTTATTATTTTTTTCGTTGTATTTTCATGCATTTATTTACAGATACGCCTTATTAGTAGATACACAATTTCAAAAGCATTGGCATCCAATGCCCTCTGCTTAAAGCCACAGCGGAGAGAAGAAGAACTCAAACAACTAGGAAACACGTTTCTTGCGAATGAATGACGAAGTAAATGAGCAAAACATAGCAGCAGACTAAGTGGTGGCACAATGAATCCAACGTTTAAAACTCGGACAAGTGATGAAGCACTTGATGAGCATATGCAACAATTGAAAACTATTGTGGCCTCACGGAGGCAGAACCCGAAACCACAAGAGTCACAGTCACAGTCAACATATAGCGAAAGTCCGGCAGCAATGCATCCAGCACCATCAGATGCTGGTTCCACCCACAAATCGTATCAGCCAACAAAGCAACAACACATTAACGAGGATGACATGCGTATACGCAGCGATTCGACAGCTACAAGCATTTATGTGATGGGCAACACACCCAATGCCATGGGACATGATGCGTACTCCAGTAATCCCCCCACCATGGATCGTAGGCAAGAGCATCGCCTATCCTGGGTAAATATGCGACGAAGGATCGAAGGCTCAGTGGCGGAAAGTGAGGGGCCACGACGACCACCCGTAACACCCTCACCCCAAACGACACGTAGTTATATTTCGAATATAACAACAACCGAAATGATGAGTTCTTCGGATGGCCGCAGTACGGCCTTGAGAAATGGCAGTAGCGTGGGTGTAGGTGGTGGTGGCGGTACTCTGAGTGGCAGAACAACGGCCACATCGGGTCACATGAGTACCAGCGGTGTGACAACCATAAGTGGCAGCAATAACACCTTGAATGATATTCATTCGGATTATCATAGCCAAGAAGTGGGTGGCAGTCGGGATTTCCATAATTTTTCGCGTAGTCCCACCACACCCATGAAACAGCATAACTATTCGGCCAATGGTAGTTTTAATTTGGCCAATGGCAGCACCGTGAAATTGTTGGCGGGCAATGATGATGAGGCGAATCAGCAGGTAAGTGAAATAGGCGTTAAGCTTGAATGTGTCGAATAGGAGACCGTTCATGAGTCCTCCTCAGAAAAGAAGGCAATTCGAAGGTCATCTATGGAATAAAAGGCACTCCGAAGGTCATCTATGGAATTATTAAAGGGTTTTCTATAGCATAGAAAACCCTTAAAGGGTCCTCTATAGTATAGAAGACCCTTAAAGGGTCCTCTATAGTATAGAAGACCCTTAAAGGGTCCTCTATAGTATAGAAGACCCTTAAAGGGTCCTCTATAGTATAGAAGACCCTTAAAGGGTCCTCTATAGTATAGAAGACCCTTAAAGGGTCCTCTATAGTATAGAAGACCCTTAAAGGGTCCTCTATAGTATAGAAGACCCTTAAAGGGCCCTCTATAGTATAGAAGACCCTTAAAGGGTCCTCTATAGTATAGAAGACCCTTAAATGGTCCTCTATAGTATAGAAGACCCTTAAAGGGTCCTCTATAGTATAGAAGACCCTTAAAGGGTCCTCTATAGTATAGAAGACCCTTAAAGGGTCCTCTATAGTATAGAAGACCCTTAAAGGGTCCTCTATAGTATAGAATAGAAGACCCTTAAAGGGTCCTCTATAGTATAGAAGACCCTTAAGGGTCCTCTATAGTATAGAAGACCCTTAAAGGGTCCTCTATAGTATAGAAGACCCTTAAAGGGTCCTCTATAGTATAGAAGACCCTTAAAGGGTCCTCTATAGTATAGAAGACCCTTAAAGGGTCCTCTATAGTATAGAAGACCCTTAAAGGGTCCTCTATAGTATAGAAGACCCTTAAAGGGTCCTCTATAGTATAGAAGACCCTTAAAGGGTCCTCTATAGTATAGAAGACCCTTAAAGGGTCCTCTATAGTATAGAAGACCCTTAAAGGGTCCTCTATAGTATAGAAGACCCTTAAAGGGTCCTCTATAGTATAGAAGACCCTTAAAGGGTCCTCTATAGTACAGAAGACCCTTAAAGGGTCCTCTATAGTATAGAAGACCCTTAAAGGGTCCTCTATAGTATAGAAGAACCTTAAAGGGTCCTCTATATAATAGAAGATCCTTAAAAGGTCCTCTATAGAATAGAAGACCCTTAAAGGGTTATCTGTGGAATAGAAGACCCTTAAAAGGTCCCCTTAAAGGGTCCTCTATAGCATAGAAGACCTTTAAAGGGTCCTCTATAGCATAGAAGACCCTTCAAGGGTCATCTATAGAATAGAAGACCCTTCTAGGGTCCTCTATTGAATAGAAGACCCTTCAAGGGTCCTCTATTGAATAGAAGACCCTTCAAGGGTCCTCTATTGAATAGAAGACCCTTCAAGGGTCCTCTATTGAATAGAAGACCCTTCAAGGGTCTTCTATTGAATAGAAGACCCTTCAAGGGTCCTCTATTGAATAGAAGACCCTTCAAGGGTCCTCTATTGAATAGAAGACCCTTCAAGGGTCCTCCATAGAATAGAAGACCCTTCAAGGGTCCTCCCTTTATTAGGGGACCCTCTATGGGTTGTCTTGAGCATATAAACCCCTTTAAGTCCCCTCTAATGACTTGAAGAGCCTCTAAAGATCCTTATTGAATAGAGGACTTTTAATACCCTCTATTTCCCGAATAGAATACCCTCTATTTCCCGATAGAGAATTGAGAATTGAAAAGGACTTATGAGCCTTTAACCATGCGGAAATGATGATAATTACATACTTATTATTTGTAATCGAAATATTCTGTGATCATTTTAACTTTAGAAATATTTAAAACTATAATTTTCCAAATTCTCCCTGAATCCATTCAAACCCTGCTTCTGGTGTAAGAGAAAACGACAATTAGATTTGAGGCGTCACATCGATTTAGGCTATTAAAAATACATTATTGGCCGTAACTAGAGAAAGTAATTTTAAAGAATCAAATCAGTTTGTAAATGATTATTTAAATATGTTTAGATAACTGCAGGTGCTAACCATCCGGGTGATCGATGATCATTTCCGGAAATGGATAATTAATAACGAACAACGTCGTAACAACAAGTTGTTAGGCATTTAAACACCTTTTGATTTTATCCGAGTTTTTTTTTTTGTATGGAAAATTATTAAAATGGGTTAATGTGAAAACAATTAGAAGTCATTTAAGAAGACATTAAATCTTAAATGTGTCAGTCGGTGAGACTTTAGTTAGGCCTATTATGAAATGCTGTTGTTGTAGGGTTTCCTAATTACTGAGAATTAGAAAATGAAGTTACACCAACATCGGTTGCAAATTCAGTGTATTTCTTATGTGAGGATGTATAGAGTGAGGTGAAAAAATTGCAACCATCTTCAGACTGAGGTCATTTCAAAGCCACTCGTCCGACAGCTGTTAAAAATTTTCCAGTGAATACAATCGTGATAGTGTGATTTCTTTATATATGGCTGGAAATCCACAAGTGGTTAACGTTAAAGCACTCCCGAATTGAATGTAAATAAATCTTTTGTGTCTCTGCTACTGGTAGCCCGACATCAAGAAAGTGGACGGAAGAAAACAGCAACATCAGCAGAAATGGTTCGGAAAGTAAAGAAGCGATTTGATAGGAACCCGTGTCGCAGTGGCCGAAAAAGACTCGCGAGCTGAACATATCGCAATATTCCATTCGGCAAATATTGAGAAATGAGCTCGGGGTAAGGCCATTGAAATTCCAAAAAGGTGCAAGAACATACACCGATCGTGTTTACTTGACAAAGAGGTCAGGTGAAAATGTGCTCCTTCGGTTGGTCACAAGAACTCAAGCGCCGGTCATGGTGATGCTGTGAACCGCCATAACAGCCGATGGTCGCTCTTCGCTCGTATTAATCGACCTTGGCATCAGAATAAATGCCGAACATTATCGCGAAAATATTCCGGAGGGTGTATTAAAGTCTTGGGTACGCAAACATTTTGGCCGCAGACCTTGGACATTCCAATAGGACTCAGCACCATCTAGTGCACAATTACCACCGAAATCTCCGGATACCAATCCGTTGGACTATTGTGTCTGCAGTATTTTGAAAAGCAAGGTTGGCACTAAAAAATACCAAAGTGTCGAGCTCTTCGCAGGAATGGGCCAAAATACCGCACAGCAACATTCGGGCAGCGTGTGACGGTTTCATTGGCCGTTTGAAGACCATAATTCGTGCCAATTCGTAAAAATCTAAACTTATTCTAAAATTTGATTCTATTTCCGACATTTTTTGCTTTCATTCAATAAAATTAAAAAAAAAAAAATGTAAAAATTATGGCGTTTAACTTTGTTGCAGTTTTTTATCTCACCTTGTATCTATCTTAAGGATATGAGGAATACATTTTTGTTTTCGGAGTGTTGAAAGACTGTATTCAAATTTCCTGTTACAGTACGTTTATATATATGAGGGTTAACCCACAGGGTTTGGATTTAAATTGTCATATCCATTACTTTTATTTCAAATAAATCCTCTCAAAGTAGGTTAACCCTACAAAAAGTTCTAACGTAAACATGGCATTAGGGTTTTAATTGCCAATCATAACTTGTGTGAGCAGAATTTTTAAAAAAAAAATCTTTTTTTTACATTTAAAGGATTAAATTCAAAACTTCTGAAAAGGAATATTTTCTCATGAGAAAGACATTGTACTTCAGCAATTTCCAGGAAAGGGAGGGTCATTTAAATTCATATGCCTTGCATTTTCTCACTATTGTCATACAAGGGAATGCAGTTTTTACTCTTCTGACAATTTTAAATAAAACGAGTACCTTTTCAATTGTTGTGACAAAAGTGGCAATTGTGTATTTGAAATTTCTTTCATTAAAATCAATTAAAGATGTTAATCATGATTAATTTTGTATGCATGCATGACATTGTCTCAATTTGTTTTGATAGAATCCTCCTTTGTTTGCCTTCGTGTTCTTTCCCTATGACTAGGCTGCCGGAATGGTAGAAACGTTCTTGGGGTAATTGCCTTCACAGTTGTCCACTTAATCTCAATTAAAGTGCATACATTATTTCATCAAGGCTCTTGGTGCTGCTGCACTGGGATATTTGATAAATTGAAGAATTGAAAACAATGTTAAGTTCGAGGGGTGATTTTCTTTTAAATTGCAGCCACATCAGTTGGCTGCAAAATTTCTAAAAATTAAGCTTTCACTTGGTCGTGCAATGTGCTAAAACAAAACCAGTAGGGAAAGGTCAAAAGTTAGTCAGGTTCGAGTATATGATACCCTACACTATCATCGTATTTATTATAGCTCCCGTAACAAAAAAAAAATCGGTCTATACGACGTGGATCTACATAGGCTTTGTTTGTCATAAGCCATTACCACATTCAAATTCCAAACTTGAAATAAACAGTGAATAGTGTAGCTAAAATCATCAAAAGACCTGGACCTGCATAGACAAATTTCTATCACAGACTGTAGTTCCCATTATGAACTCTAAATACGTAATTTGAAACTACTCCGGTGAATAATGACGCTAAAATCATGAAAATACCGAATATTTGGAGGTACCGTTATATGGGGGCTATATAAAGATGTGGACCTGCACATACAAAAATATCATAAGCTGTAGTACCCATTACGAACTTCAAATACCAAATTTGAAATAATTCTGGTTAATAATGTCGCTAAAATCATTAAATTACCGAATATTGGAGGTACCGTCATAGGCTGCAATATCCATTACGAACTTTAAATACCAAATTGGAAACAATTCCGGTGAATAATGTCGCGAAAATTATCAAAATACCGAATATCGGGAGGTGCCGTTATATGGGGACTATACCAAAACGTGAACCTATATGACCCATTTTTAATACCAAAAGTCCTGCAGACATAATATACATTTGAGTAAAATTTAATAAGCCAGTTGGACGGACATCCCTAAATCGACATAGAATTTTATGCCAATCGTGAATATACATAAAAAAACTGCATCAAAGTCAAACGCCATAATTTTTGCATTTTTTTAAATTTTATTCGGAAATAGCATCAAATTTTAGAATAGGTTTAGATTTGTTCGAATTC